TATATACATATATATATATATATATGTATGTATGTATATATATATATAATAAATACTAAAGAAAGATAAATGTTTAGGTATTGGTTCAACATAAACCGCTTGCAATTACTTAACCTTTTTTAGAAGGAAATATACCTGAAGCTCTTCGAGTACCAGTCGTGCAGCAATAAACGCTAAAACGATACTTTCTCAAAATAAAGTTAGCTATAAGGGCACTTCACATGCTGTTCGCGGAGCGACATTTATGCAAGGCCACTCTTTCTACATATTGTATTAGCTGTGCAACTTCCGACACGACGCTGTTCCAGTGTCAGCCGTCCCGATCTCTCTGTCCTCCCCATCCCCCCCCCCCCCCCCCCCCCCCCCCCCCCACGCGTCCGCACCGTCCCGACCTCGCCCGCCCCAGCCATGTGACCCACCGCCGCCGGCTACGGGCGGACACCCGCTGACTAGGGTCCCGCGGCGGCCGACCGCGGCAGGTCCGATCGCGCCAGACACATGCCCAAGCCTTACACTTTTGCCCTCTGTATGTTGGTGAAAGCTGAGCGGTGCAAGTATATTGACGTCACACCATTTCCTAACTCCAACATGCGACGGCATCCGAGCACCGTTGAGCGCGGAGCTGCGCTGCACCGCCACACCAACACCGCGCCAATACCGCGCACCGGTCGCTGACGCTTTCTCAATTCGACCGCCGATCGCGCCAGCGAAGAGGAACCATCGCTCAGGCGCCAACTCTGTGAGGACGCAGGACCTAAAACTTGGTGGCGATTCGTTGCAAACTAGAAAACAGAGATCAGCAGGAGAAAGCAGTGTGACCAAGATGATCTTGCCAACCGTCATACACTCCCCACAAAACCATCCGATCAGCATCGATCCGCTTCACCAAGTCGGGGGCCAGCGATATCAGCTGCGTTTTGATCCCCTTCGAACAAGGATAGGGATGACAATGACTTCGTCGGCCCGGCCAACGATTCCATGCCAATCCCCAGCCTAGTTTACTTCATTAACTCCCCGACAAACTTGAACAGCAGCAAAAGCGGTTACATGATACGGCGTTGCGATTGCCAAACAAACCAGTATCACTTTTGAAAACTAACGCTGAAATTCACAGCGCAGATGTCACCAAAAAATCCAGCTTTAAACAGATCAAAATAGCGTCAACAACTGCCAAAGCATACCACCTGATCAGAACTTACAAAATCTGAATCAGGTCCCGGCCAGTATGATTTAACAATCGCATCGACCCGGTGGGACAGGCCCTGAGCTAGCCTGCGCTCGGTTCTCTCGCGCCTGCCCCTCCAGATCTGAAATCCGGGACAAAATCGGATCCAGCGCCGACAACGCCACAACACCAGTCTTTACCTGCCTAACAGTTGCAGTAGCGGACTCATCTGGCCTGACAGACGCTGCACGCCTCTTCGCGGCTCTCCGCACATAACGTGTTTTCTTTTTAACAGCACCCACAAAAGAGAAAATTCTCGCAAAAATGATCTCCGATGGATACGGCTCCCGCAGTGTGCAGAAATGTTTAACTGAACAGCATCAGGTCACCCTGCCGCCCAGGAAAGGCATGTTTCCCAAGATTTTTAAACTTAATCACGAGCGAACTCAGTAACTCACGGGGTCGAACACCAGCTTCCACATACGCGTGTGGGCATCCAAGGCATTCGGTTTTGCGAACAAGTCATGCAGGCCGCCGATAGCCAGGCCATAAGCTGTTCGGTGGGCTGTTGACAAAGAATAAAAAGCGTCCAAGGCTTCGCCAGACAGGCAAAGTGGCAGAAATCACAGCTTAAAGTTATCATCCCAGCCATACACTGATGGAAATATTTCGAAATCAGCAACGAATCTGTTCAAGAGCCTTTCTTCTTTGGGCCTTGCCCCCCCCCCTCCCCCCCCCCCCCCCCCCCCCTCCAGAATTGAGACAGCCCAGCCATCCTAGCGTTTTGCTCAACACTTTCCGCGGGCCCTTTTTCAGCTCCGGAGAAAACGCTACTGTTCGGCTTTTTAATCTTCCTCATATTGCCAATTTCCTGATCCCCTGAGGAAAAAACACAATATGCAAAGGACAGCAACACAGATCAATTAACTGATACACGAAAACATGACCAACGATGCAGCAAAATTAACCTGACCCTGTGCGACAACGGCGTGATCAGCGTCAGCAGGAACCAGACGCGCTGGGCCTCCAGTCCACCAGCTGCCGCGCATATCAGGCGAGCGGCGGTGTCACGGATCAGCGGGAGACGAACAGGCGTCGCCAAACGCCAGCGGGAGACGAATAAGCACCACCAAACGCTAGCGGGAGACGAACAGGCGCCACCAAACGCCGGCGGGAGACAAACAGGCGCCACCAAACGCCAGCGGGAGACGAACAGGCGCCACCAAACGCCAGCGGGAGACGAACAGGCGCCACCAAACGCCAGCGGGAGACGAACATGCGCCACCAAACGCCAGCGGGAGACGAACAGGCGCCACCAAACGCCAGCGGGAGACGAACAGGCGTCGCTAGACGCCAGCGGGAGATGCGCAGACGTCTCCAAACGCCGGAAGGAGACGAGTAGGCGCCGCCAGACGTCAGCAGCAGACGAGCAGGCCAGCAGCTCTCGGACTTGGACGCCTTCCAAGTGAGGGGAAACAGAATAACAAACCGACGGGCTGGATTGTGACATGCTTGTCTGTATGAACGGCTGTATCAACACGCAATACCCTGGAGCTGTACAAGACGCTTGCCATTGGGAGAATGTGTTCCAACGGGGAAAAAAAGCGGGCCTCATTCTGTGATTCCATCTGTGTTGCCTGGATGCACCACTGTGTGGAACACTTAGCTTTGGCCCATTGAACCGCTCATGTGATTCTGTTTACAACCAGAGGTACGAATGCGCATAACTCATAGCGGTCGAGCTCGGTGTTCGGTTCGGGCGAAGTATGCATCGAGTTCGATCCATCATCAGAGGAATTTAAAGGGTGGGAAAAATTGGCCGAGGATTACGGGACGCTCCCGCTGAGTACGGTTCCTTGCATTGGTAGCCTTGGAAATCATGATCCAAACTTCACGAATGGTTTATCTAGCACGCACGAGCCCTACACATGCCAAGACTAACATGATCACTGTCGAGCTGTGGCCTCCGTGGAGCTGCAACGTGCTGGACTTGGATCTTCCGATTCACAGACGTCTCGATCAAGGGATTCAAAATTTGGTCGATAGAGAGGTACTCCAACACCCCGGCCAATCGTACCCATTTATCTCTCCAAGTGCACAGCAAAACTTGTGATTCGCGAATTTATCTTTTTATGGCCATTTGGAGATTGGTGGTGGCGCGATCATGGGCATCGACTTCAAACTCAAGCCAATGCACACGGCACTGGTTTATTACCCGCCCTATCTCACTTTTTCATCGTCGTTCATTTTCGTGATAACTGGCACAAGGCGTATGAATTATTCCAGACATATCTTGGCACGCTGACCACAGCCCATCACACATCGACCACGGATTTGCCGGGGCGTGACCCTGCCGCGCGCACATCAGGTCAGCCAGACACCCGCCCGCTTCATGGCTGGGCTGGGATAGCGGCACTGCGCAAGCCCAAAGGCGTTGACAGCCGGTCGAGTTTAGCGCGCCAACAAACTACGACGCCTGAACAAACAATGCGCGGTATGATCTGGCCGCGGGCGCTGCAGGTCAGTCTCGATAGATCAGGAGCGCCTGCCTTTCCATTCGCCCACCCTTGGCGGGGTGGGCTCGAGTCGCTCTATGTGCCCGCTAGTTGTCCTTTGCAGAAATGGGCCGCGCCCAGTGGCAGCGGTAGCTCTTAAGTTCAGGTGACGTCAGTGGGAGCGTCAGACGAACCGTACCGAGCAATGCGGCACGTTAAACTTCTGACGCCGTATTCTGCTGTCCACCTGGAATTTCATGATTGAATGGTAGGGGTCAGGACTCACACAACAAGCACTGCTTACGATGAGCTCTGGTCACAGAAATCCATTCATTCGAAAAGCTCGGATCTGTAAACAAATCTGTAAACAAGATATTTCCGTTCCAAGAACTTTCACGGCGCCTACCAGCGTCTAAGCGCCGAAGGGCCACCGTTGTCATAAAACCATGACCGTCTGTTTGTGTGCACCCGATGCCCGGACGACCCCTGACAAATTTTTGGTCACACAGGTGAGCACGGCCTAGCCGGTGACAGCGCGGAGAGCTCAGCCGCGTTACAAGCTCCATCGACTTGACCTGGAGTGGTATTCGCGACGCTCGTAAAAGGCGAGATGGCTCCGAGAAAACGAGGCCGATAGCTCCGCTACCAAACACCGTTCTAACCGGTTGCACGGGCTGCCACATACGGGGCAGGTGTGCACAAAGCTCGGACATCTTGCCAGCCTCTGACGTCACGTGACCGGTCGATGCAGACACGGCTCGTTGCGAAAGCGGGGTGGTTCCCGGACCAGGCAGTGCCCGAAACTGGTAAAAACACCGACACGGGTACAGTTCCACTTTTAGCCAAAGATATGGACACGCTGAGCCGAGTACTGTGCACTCAACAGGTCGACTAAAAAACTAGCGGTGTCAATCAACCGAGTAAAATTAACGACGAAACAGAAAAGTCGCTATATTTGACATCACAAGAAAACCCGGAAAACCCTCAAGCACAGCCATCGTACACGACAAGCTTTGCGTCCCAGAGGAGGCTGTACCAATCCGACGGGCAACCTGGTGAAGACATGCCTGGATCATGGATACAGCATGTTAAACTTGCACTTGTGTTGCCGGCGCCAAGGGTACGACCCATTACGCCATCAGGTTGTTTATCGCAGCGTCGGCCCTAATTCGCTGCAGGTGTCGCCTTTAACGCAGTTGTTAAAACATGCGGCCGCAGTACGTGATGGCGTTTACGACGTAACTTCGGAAGCCTGCACAGTAACCGAACCACGTCAGCCACCTATACACGGGAAAGCGGATAGCGAGGCGCAGGCTTGCCTGACATCAGCGCAGCCTGGACCAGCAACTCAAGCGCCGATCACACCAACATGAACGTCAGCCGGCACGCACGTGAGATTGGTGGTGCAGGGGCTGACACCCGCACCTTCAAATCGCATGGGAAAACCAATGTCGCCCACGGGCGGCCCACGCACCCAGCCACGCTCACTTGGGTGAGCTCCGAGGGACTCATCCGGGCGCTCCTAGCCACCAGGGGCGCGGTGAACCGCCATATGCATTCACGTGTGTATTGGTAAATCATTATTGCCTTTTTTCGTCTTTAGCTTGTCTTGGGGCCGAACAAACCAACTTCCAAGGTTTGCACACCGTTTGGTGGCTACAAGAGCGTGTGGCTTTAAAAGTCGCGATACCTTCTCCGATACTCCCTTCACACCAGGCAAAATCACGAAGGCTGATTGCCGGCTGAAACGTTTTGTGTTCTTCGATGATGGAGCTTTTGAGTTTTTTTGACAAACGTTTTTGGAAATGATTGAATTTCCAAGCTTCGTCAATGCATTTATCCTTTCTCCTATTTTTGTGGCGCATTTTCCATAGTTATTATATATTGAACATGTTTGTTTATATTGATCGACGTCCAGGAATGAAAACCCAAAGGTGAGAGACTTGAGCAGCGCCGCGTGACGACTGCTGTGGGTGTTTTTAGTTCAAGGAAACGCTTAAAAAGGGAACAGGAAGACGCCCGGCGATTTCAGCTGGCAGGCTTGTCAAGATTCCGCTGGCCGAAGCGGGGCCAGCCACCGAGTTCGGCACTGAAGGTCGCGTAGAAGACCACGGAGCTCAGCGAAGCGATCCACTCGGCCACGGTGAAGACGGTGCACATTCTGCCTGACTCGCTGAGTCGGAACGTCTCCATTGCTGCGGCAGATCGGTGCACACAAGACAACTAAATGTGCGCTTCACCGTACAAATGGAGGGGCGCTAATGGTATGCAAGTGACCTCTTTGCTACTGATACGCATGTGCAAAGTTTCTGCAATATTCCTCAGGAGTTGTACTTGGTTATGGCATGCGCCTCCGAACTATGCATTGGATTGTGGCTGTGATAGGAAAGCTGACCGAGTTGAAAATAGATGTTGCCCCTATATCTGGGTGCCTTTCCATTTTCTACCTATTTTTACTTCAAACCCGTCCTGCTAGTGTTGCCTTCGGGTGTCCTGACAAAGGCTCTCCTATGATCTCTAAAATTAAGTAAACCAGACTCATTGGGAAGACGGCATTGACACGTTCTCGTCAAACGCAATTACAATGGTGAGAACGAACAATAGTGAACTTGATCCTTAACAGGGCACATTTGGTCACCGACATGACCTCCAGAAAGAGGCCACAGATAACAGGCCGACAACATCAGGACAGCACGTCCAAAAATGATGCAAACTCAGCTACCTACCGACACAGAACACAGACAACAACAAAAATGTAATGGACAATGTCATAGCGAAGGCAATGCTCTACGCTTTGCACGTAATGCGGCTGCAAAATGAAGGGTGTGAAACAGTTTGCATTATTCAATGTCGCATGGAAACTGGTAGAACCAGCCGAATCGTATAATACTATCTGGGAGACGACAATTCCTCTGATCTCTCTCTTGCTATTTTGTGTCGACTTAAACACTGACCTGAAGCATCACAAGTCGCCACCAGCTCGAGGCGAGCTGACCAGGCCCCGGATGGCACCAACCAGTCGCCGACGAGACATGCCACCACGCTAAGGCCGCCGATGCCAAACAGAACGACCCTGAAGAGCCTCAGTCTGTTCAAGCCGGCTGGCGTCAGCAGCGTGCGTAGGCCAATGAAGGCCAGGCCACAGCCGAACGCCACATACGCACCAACGAAGTGCGCGTTCCTCCGGGGCCCGGCTTCGGCGCACCAGGCGAGGGTCAGCTGGCCGGCCGAGCAGGCCAGGCCAAGAGCCAGGCTGAGCGCGGAGAGCCAGCCGCGCGGGGTCACCGCATATAGCCGGCAGCTGATGAGGCTCATTAGCACGGCAAGCAGCGAGCCCAGCAGAGTGAAGAGGAATGACTCGGGCGCGCACACGCCCGAGTCACTCACAAGCGGCAGCAGCGGCTGCTGGTGGCCGAGGAGCGTGCTCACCGCGTACGGCACGAGTACTAGAGCCAGCGCCGAGCCGGCGAGCAGCAGCGGCAGCAGCCGATCCAACGCCGACAACGCGCCATCCCACCGGCCGCCAGATGGCGCCAGCAGCGGCGTGCGCGGCGAGGGCGGCCGGGACGCCCAGGCCGCCGTCGCCGACGCTGGGGCGACGCCGTCGGCCGCGCCGCCCAGAGGGCACTCTCGGCGCGCCGGCGGAGAGGAGTGAGCGGTCGGCATCGCTGGGGCACCAGGTGCGCGGTCACACGTACCAGCAGCTGTCACGCTTGCCACAACGCTGAGGCCGGACGCGCGTCGACTGACGCAGGCGTGTTCGCTCCGCGGCGCAGCGAAGGCGGCCGAAGACGCCGCCCAACGATAGTCCTACGTTTGCCAAGGCCCGGCAGCTGCAGCCGCTGTTTGTGCAAGTGGCTTTTGCTTGTGCAGCACGTCACAGAGAACAACACAGGGAGCTAGAATCGCTTTTGAACTAGAGTGGGAGTGAAAAATTCCATCGAAAAAAGACCGTGCGGGAGTGAAAAATTCATTCACAAAAGACGGAACTTATGAGCTCGTGACTGGTGCTTCAGCGAACAAAGACATCTATTTCAAGTTGGCATGGAGGTAATATCAGAAACCTGACAAAACTTTTTCGTTTTTTTACATCTTAGGCCATTAAAGTGAAACAGAACACATTCACACGCGCTCGGGTGGTGGGGGGGGGGGGGGGGGAACTGACACCCCGAGGGCATTTCCCGAATGGTTTTGAGCGGCGCGGCGCAGCCGCGCCACATTTTGCATAGCTCTAGAAAATTGTATAGCGGATCATCTGACAAACCAATTTTAGAAGTACTTTGTCAGGTCGCTGACCTATGACAGGTCAAAGTCAGCCCATGGTTTCAGCGAAGGCAGTTTCTAGGGAATCGTTCAATCTGATACAACAACGGAGTGTTTGACGAAGACAGACATATCTGAGACGCTTTCTTAGGCACCGAAAATATTGAATGAACAAATTACGTTGACCTAAGGTCGTGTGTGATAGTCAGACCAAGGTCAAAACCAACCTGATTTATTACTGTAGGGGTTGCTGTATGGGATAGTTTCTGGTGCTCATTTCGAATTTATTGACAGCAGGAACCGCATCATACATTTTCAATTGACTTCTTGGAGGTCAGAACAGGCCATTGACCTAATACGACCCGGGTCGAACGTTTTGTTTTAGGAACATACAGCGTAGTGTAATCTTTGTCGCTTATTGAAATGAAAACGCAGAGCAGCCCTATATAATTTTGGTCACCATGACCTTCAAAGGGTCAAACAAGGTCAATGACCTCAAATAGGCTTGTGAACTTTTACGTAGAGATAGTTGGCTAGGTTCTGTGGGCACTTCGGAGATCAATCTGGAATTTGACCTTGGTTGACCTTATTCGATCTGAAGGTCATGACCTAGGAGCTGAAACCTTTATCTAAGTGAGTTCGCATATAGGTCAAGACACCCTGTAAATTTGGTGTCTCTAGCTTTCTTAGTTCCCGAGATCTCAGAGGGGGGGGTTCATATTGACCCCCACACCCGAGCGAAGGGTATCTAGCCGGCCAACCGGGCGCGTGTTAAAGCATAGTAATTTCATGACAGTATTATGAGCATAACAAATTACTAACACCAAGAATTTGATGCTGCACTTTTCAATTCCCTTCCACAGCACTTCTAAAGCAAAACGAAGCAAAGGAATACAACACACAACAAACAATAACAATATAACAACAGAAAATTCAACAAGCATAAAACACTCAAACAAAAAAAAACATTGGACTCCTACACATCAGCCCATCACCAAGTCAAACACAATAGACATACTTCTGGCTTCTGTTAAGGAGGGGGTCAGGGAAAACAAACATTTTGTCACTGTTTCTTACAAAATACCTATGCTTATTTCCATGAAAGTAGCCTATGCCTAACATAAAGAGGCCTTACATCATCTCATCATGCATAACTTGTTTGTATCACAGCAGCAGTTGTGAGTTACTGATTCTTGCACAATTCCTATTGCCACTTGCCATGCACTTAACCAACTTAACCTAACTTAGAGTAGCCCATATGATGAACGTCATCTCAACTCACCGATCTGTTTACAGCAGCATTTGTGATAAAAGCATGATATTTAAAGCTAGTTTTTGGCTGGTTTCAACTTGCATTTTTACTCATTAATTTGTGCATGCTTGTTGACATCAGACAAAGTTGACAACATATAGATCAAAACACTTCAAATCACTTTGAACAACTTATTTTGATTGTCATGGTTAGCCTATGTCAAGGGCAATAATGGGTATGCTCCACAAAACAATCTTTCGTCTCCAAAAATTACATAACTTTTAGATGGCCATGCCAGTATTGCTGCTTGCCTTTTCAGCTGCAGCAAACGCGTCCATTTGGGCTTGCTTATTCATATTCAATAACAAAGTTTGAAATGTTCGCTTCACATTTTAAATGGGGTGGTCTGAGTATTTGTTGCATAACAATATTTAACTCATATTATAATTGCTATGCAGCTTAGAGTATCCCTGTGCTAAAAATATAGTGCATATATACAGTACAGTCATTTGCTGGTCAGCAAATCATGACAACTATAGAAAACATCTGGTTAAAGCAGCGATGAAGGACCACTTCAAGAAATTTGGGCAAATAACCAAGAATATGGAACAAAATAAGCCCATTGCGTGCCTTGTGGCATCATAATTTGTCTTATGGCAAAACTCGATGCATTAAAACAGAAAATGGTCAACTCTGGTTACCAGTCATGTGTTGAAAGCAGGTAAGGCAAGCAATTACTTGGTCCACAGGAGACTTACCGGCTTCTTCCTGCTCCCCAAAAACAAAAATTCAGTACCTTTTGCGCGGTTTGCTGGCAGACAGAGTCATCCGAGCCTCCCCCAAATATAAATATCAATCATGCCCACCAACCTTTGAGATCAAAGTGCGAAACAAGTAAGAGGTGCGCATGGTAAACATCCCCTCAGGGCAGAATTGCGCCATCAAACACCTCTGTATTAGCTGCGTCAGGTCTGTCTGAAGGCTGCATATGGCAGCATATTCTAATGTTGCCATACAAAGGCAGCATTAGACAATGCTATTTTAGGCCTTGCCAGGTAGCCTGGTAAGTCAGACAATCGAAAAGCTTGGATTTATCCTTATTGAGCACCGCCATGAACCAAGAAAACAGTTCACCGAAGGTTTAAAAGGGCAAAAATGGCGGTAAAAATAAGTTCCGTGCTTCAAATTGTCTCCTTCATTCCCCGTGAATTGTTCACGCTTGGGTGCATATGAAACAAGTTTGGGCGGCTGGCGAATTTATCCCATCTATGTATGAAATACGTACAAGCTTGCAGTTGAAGCATCTTGCAGAGAAATTGGTCAACATTTTAAGCAGAAGATTGTTCCTCTAAAGGCAATCAAAAAGGAAGAAAGAATAAAGTGGTATCACACTGGTATGATATCAAGAAAAACAAAAGTGGCTAAATAAATAAAAAGACTAGTACTTTTCTCGAAAAATTTTGTAATCAGCTGATTTGACTTAAAATCTGGTAACACAAGTGCTCAAATGGTGACATTCATCTTGTAAATTTAATTTAGAAGACATTTCTTAAACTTTTCTCTCCTGCATTTCGGGAATGATGCAATTTAGTGGTCAAGTCTCCTCGGGAAAAAAGAAGTACGTGGAGCAAAATTATCTACCAGGCCTTAATGGGTGTTTGCACCAGCCTCTGCTTTCGTGGTGTGGTGGTGAGACCAAAAAATAGGGGACGCGTGAAAGCCTTCCATTTGGCGCACAGCTGCAGATTTTGATGCATTTTGTAAACAAACCAAACTTAATGCGTGCAAGCGGGTGGGGTCGCTCGGGTCCTTGGGCTTGGAGGTACCTGGCGCCCTTGCTCTGTGCATACATAGACATGATTCAGATGTAGGTGAGGCAGTACATAGCCATAGGTGTCCAGGCTCCGCGGAGCCTCGTTTATGCTTGGTGGTTTCAAGTGAGCTCGGCTTTGGACGGCATCTGAAAACCTTAGAGAAGGAAATAGGGGTTTGGCATGTGCGATTACACAATGTCAGGCAGGAGCGAAAAATTCACATAACATATGGGGAAAAGGAGTGAAAAATTCCTCCTCATAGGGTGCTGCTGTACACCAAAGTCAGCATTTCTAGGACACTGGCACAACACGTGTATCTAGACTCCCGTTTGTGTATTTGGGGCATAAATACATCAATATATTCGGCCAACAAAGAGCCTAAAGGGCCCATCGACGTTGGCCTACCTCAGGTTCCGTACACATCCTCAAAACTAATCACCTGACCTACGTAAATTTAGCTCTAAATGAGATCTCTAGACCGACAGAAATTGTCCAAACGGTTTTTGAATGTTGCTAGAGAGGGGCTTCCTAAAATTTTGTTTGTCAGCCCCTTCCAATGGTTAATGATTCTTTGACTAAATGGCATCGGCCTTTTCGCACTTGTTCTCCCACCTTCTGCTAAATGAATTTGGGTTTTTCTGTGTTTCGGCCTAATTTCCAGTGTTCCATGTAGATCTATTTTCTCCATCCCCTTCATAATATTGCATGCCTCTATCAGATTCCCTCTAAGTTAACGATATTTCAGTGAATATAAATCCAATGCCCTAAGCTCATCTCTATGTCCAAAGTCGCCGATCCCATTTATCATCCCAGCTGCTTTTCCCTATACTCTACTATAGACTATACACACACACACACACACACACACACACACACACACACACACACACACACACACACACACACACACACACACACACACACACACACACACACACACACACACACACACATATATATATATATATATATATATATATATATATATATATATATATATATATATATGTGTGTGTGTGTGTGTGTGTGTGTGTGTGTGTGTGTGTGTGTGTGTGTGTATGTGTGTGTGTGTACGTATATGTATCTCTCTCTCTCTCTCTCTCTCTCTCTCTCTCTCTCTTTTTGGAAGCAAAGGGACCA